TCTCAAGCCCGAGCCATCCACCTAGGATGCTGCTGGATGTCCCGGGGCCACCACAGGGAGGTGGGGAGGGGAGGGGCAAACGAGCCACAATCTGCCCCACCGGCCCCCAGCTTGACTCTGAACAGAAACTTCATCTATTTTATACCTTGGGGAACTGTAAGAGGTTGCATGACAAAGGGCTCTGGACTGAAAGTTAAAGTGTGACAACCTCTGGGCTAAGTGTTCTCTATGCCTCTTTCATCTCTACTGGGTGGACAGGTTTGTATTTTGATTCTCAGCCAGACCACAGGCTGGACCAGGCCCTCTGCTGAGCAACGCATGATGGCCAGCAGCTAGGAGCTCTGTGATTGACTAGCTATGTCTGCCACGGACGAAGTAAAGGGTGAGGAGCAGCCAGTGCAAAGGTGACAGATTTGCTATCTAGGTCTTATAGAAACCATTTCATAACAGTGCCCGGAGTGTATGAAGGCGAGAGAGGTCTATACCTGTGGTCCATCAGAATACAGGCACTTAAAGCATATTAACCGAGAGTGCCCCTGAGTTTCCCTTTTGGCTGGGACTAACTTGGCTGAGTGACAGGGCAGAAAGGAGTACCTGACAGCCCATCGCTCACGGGAGTTCACAAAGGGGTAAAGAGGACCCTACGGGAGGAAGTCACAGCTGATGGATGGCAGTGCCTCCTGCTCTGATTTCATCTCATCCAGATCAGCCAGCCTGGTGCCTCCCCCCGAAGGCCCTGTCCGGGCACCCTCGACCTTCTGCCTTTGTCGCAGGCACATCTGTGAGCGTCTCTTCACCCCTGTGGCCTCCTACGAGAGAGAAGAGCGGCGGTTCTCAGGCCAGCACCCCGCAGAGGCCTCGGGAATGCCGCTGCTCAGGCCCACGCCCAGACCCGCCCAATCGGAAGCTCTGAGGGGGGGGCCCAGCCATTTGCATTTCATACACCTCCCAAGGGCGCTGAGGATACCGGACATCGCCTGCGGGGATCTGAAGGGCTCTGCAGCCCAGGAACTCAGCACCTCGGGGTGGCCAGCACGGGTCTGAGCACCCCAGGCAATCCCGGCACACACACGGGGTGGGGCGGTGGGGGCTTGGGAACCCACTGCAGACACTGCTCCGCCTTAGCTGCGTGGCCGGTTGCCGGCCCTTGGCCGCTGTGGGTCTCGGGCCCCTCTGTGAAATGGAGAGAATGGGGCCACCTCCCAGAACTCAAACTGTGTGAACCCTGTTTAACAAGAAAGCCTGCGTCTCCCTCCTGGGAACACAGGGAAGGCCCCGGCACTCTGACAAGGACACACCAAACCGTTTCTGACTCAGCTGAGTAACCCATACCCAGCCTATCGTAGCTCCCTTGTCACCTGGGGGTCTCTTTCTTGGCTGCGACAGTGACCGGAGTCCACCTGGGGCCAGCCATTCCGCAGCCCCATGGAGCCACTTTCACACTCCAGTGGAGGGGTGGGCCCTGGGGCTCTGGGGTCTCTCTTCCAGCCATCCATCTGCTGGTTTCACTCTTCAGGATGAAGCCTCTGTTCCCTCCTCCTTTTTCGCAAATCTTAGCCCACAGAAAATGCAGGATACACAGCTCCACCTGCAGCCTGGAACAAGGCTCCTTACCCCATTGCAGTAATCAAAGGCACCGTCACTTCCCACCTCCAAGGAGCAACGCGCTGGGCCAGACTAGGTCTCACCTGTGGATGTGCAGACATGCCCACCGGGCACTGGAGGGTGGGAGGGGCCAGCATGGCTCAGGAGAGCGCTGGGGAGGACAGTGGCGCACACCAGGCCTCCCACACGCGGCGGGCTCTGTGTGCTGCCCCTCCCATCCTTCGACGGGAAACCTGGCCCAGAGAGGGCGAGCCTCTCCCCCAGGTAACTCAGCAGTGATGGCCCAGGCTGGACATGGGTTTGCAGGCTCCGTGAGCTCAGGCTCTGAGAAGCAGTTCCCAATGCCGCCTGAGGTTTGCCCTCTTCTCAGACATGTTTTAAATGCTAGACTCTGTGACTCTGTTCCCATGACCCAGGAGACCCACCTAGGAGGAGATGGGAAGGGGCATGGGGGCTGCACCCTCTCCCACCCCAGCACCGCACAGGCCCAGGCTCTGTATCACCGCTCCCACAGTGCCCATGTCTCCGTGTGCGCGCGCCTGAATGTGTATGTGAGGGTCTGAGTTGTGTGTGTAAGTGAGTGGTATGAATGTGTTGATGAGAGTGCATGCGTGTGTTGTGTGGGGTGGGCATCAATGTGTGTGCGTACAGAGTGCAACACTTCCGTCAGCCCGCCTAAGTCTGGTTCTCACAACGGGGTGGGGCTCCAAAGCCCCACGTGCAGCAGATACGTGCAATCAGGAACCCACTTGACTCCTCCTGACCTCAGACCGGGCGCTGGCCACACCCTTGACCAGACTTGATCCTCTGGGTCGCACAACGACCAGCCCTCTCCCTTCCCTTGCTCAGTCCTCATGCCCGTGAAGGAACACACCGGCGAGGCCGCCCCAGAAGACGCGGGAGCACCAAGGCTGGCTGGCCAATGCCCCAGGGGCCCCGAGCTGCCCCAACCTCTTTGTGCCCCTCTTACACCCCTGGCCCAGCACCTGGCCCTCTCCTGGTCCTTGCTGCTCATCGATCAGCTCTCACGAAACCCCACACTCTCCCCCTGCCCTGCCTGGAGGCTGGGAGGCCCCCGGCCCAGGCGGGAGCTGTCCTCAGGTCCCAGGCCTTCAGGGCAGGCAGGTGCCACTGCTCCTGTCTCACAGGTGAGGACACCAGGGCTCAGAAGCACTGAAAAAGGCCTGAGTGGAGCCCCCGGGGGTGCTGGCTCTGAGCGCTGCCCATACCACCACCTTGGTTCCTTCATGGGACAAGCACCCTCAATTTCTGTGGGGTTTGTCAGAAAACTCCTCAGCCCTCACAAATGTGCCCAGTCGTCGGACTCTAAAATCAAACCTGTTCTGTGCCCATTGAATTCTGCGCTTCAGCCTCCCGGGCCCTTGGCTGAGAACCAACCTGCAGGCCTGACGGGAGCTGTCACAAGTGCCCCACACTTTTTTTTAATCCTCACCCGAGGATATATTTATTGATTTCAGAGGGAGAGAGAGAAGCATCGATCGGTTACCTCCCATACACGCTCCCACCGGGGACCAAACCTGCAACCTAGGCATGTGCCCTGACCAGGAATCAAACCCACGACATTCTGATGTACAGGACGAGGCTCCAGCCAACTGAGCCACCTGGCCAGGGCCCCGAAATCTTCGGCAATGCCATGCCCTGCCCTGTAACTCCTTCTTGTCCACTGCGGTCAACAAAACAAACATAACACAAAAGGCAAGAAAAATAAACACTGAAAGGAAAGAAATAGGGCAAAATGCCAACAAGAGTCTCTGGTCACATATCAGACCAGACTTCATGTTGCTCTTCTCCTTTTACATTCTATTTTCCAATTTTTCTATATGGAGCAAGTATTACATTAATATTGGAAAAAAATAACTATTGAACCTCATCTGGTCTTAAAATACCCGGTGAGTAGTCATAAATGCGGCTCCTATTTATTTCTACTGCCTGAGCGTTTCCTGGGGAGTAAAGAGGAGGTGAACAGAGCAGTTCTGACCTCAGTGTTCGGGTGATGATGCCATTTTTCTTTCGGCTTCTGGGAATGGATTACGTCTCCCTCTAAAGCCTCAGATGCTGTGAGTGGCAGGTATTCTGCCAAGAAACTGCAGCTACCATTTTTGTCCTTTCACTATGGATCAAAGGTCATTGAAAACTTGAACCAAGTGGGCTAAAATTTTAATTTAGTGATGAGGCTGGGAAGGCCTGAGCATAACGGAGCAGGGAGCTTTCCTGGAGTAACGGCGGGCCTGCCCCTGATTGGGAATAGACTCATCCAGAATGACACCTGTCCCGGAAGCTCCCGCCTGGGCACCGCGAGGGGCCTGCAGCCGCCCCCAGACCCTTGTCCCAAGCACCAGGACTCTCAGGGCAGACCTCAAGGGCCCCACCCTGGCCCGGGAAAGCAAACAGACAGCGGGAGCTCCTGGTTAACGCAGTCAGGAGTTGCTCCTTTAGAAGCCAGGAGTGGGGCCGCCTGAGAGCCCTTGGATTTCAACAGGGCAACTTCTCCGACCCGTAGCAGGGACCGGTCTCGCTCCCGCGGCCCACGGTCTCCCGCAGCCTCACCTGGACCAGATCCGGGCTTACAGGCTTACCTCTGCAGCCCCCAGGGGGACAGTCCCTGGGCACCCCCTTTTCCAGCTCTGAAGCCCCCACCCCTGGACCAACACCAAAGATACCTCCAAATCCAACGTGGTGCCCACCTACATCAGCTCCAGACCCACTACTTAGGGTCCAGCGGCCCTGCTGACCCCAAACTCAGTAAGTCCTGCGTACCATTCAGTCCCCCACCCAAGTTCTAATCAGACCCGGCCCTTCTTAGCTTCTGAGATCAGACAAGATTGGGCGCATTCAAGGTGGTATGGCCGCAGACTCCGGAATCCCATTCAGAGTAGCAGCGGGCCCACAGCACCCAGGTTTGCCTGGCGCCTACAGCCAACCTGTTCAGCTGTCTCCCAGGGCCCAGGGACAATCTGGGCTGGAGGCCAGGTGGCCAGGGCAGCTTCCACCCTCCTTCCACATCCCAGCAATGCTGGGCTCTCCATGCCCAGCTGGGCATGCAGCCTTGGGAGCATTGCACCGTTCTCTGCGCCGGCACTGTCCTATGCATCTTACCAGCAGAATGGCCCACCTTCTTTATTCATCAAGATTTTACATTTAACATCAGCATATAAACAGACAAAAGAGATCCTGCTCTATTCAAGGTGGGGCTGTAGGACCCAGGACCTCTTGCCTCACCTCTGAGAACATCCGGGGAACCCCAGGGTTCCAAGGGGCATAGTTTGAGAAATGCCAGTGTAGGCCTCTAACGAGGCAGCATGACTGATGAGATCGGGCCCAGCTGGCAACTCAGAACCACCCTGCTGTCCCATGCCACCTCTGCACCCGCCTACCTGGAGGCCGCAATCTCCGCCTTCTGCTTGGCAATGGTGGCAGCCCGCTCCGCCGCCTCCACAGCCCGGTCTACCTTCTCGCGGATCTTGCTGGCGCGCAGCGGGATGAGGTTCTTGCGCTTGCCGCTCACAAGGATGTTCTGCTTGTACTTGCCCTCCTCCTTGGTGCCGTCGGGGAAGGTCATGCAGCCGTAGCCATGCCGCCGGTTGCTGGCCCACTCGCCCTCATACTTGAGCCCATCAGAGCGCTGGCTCACGCCGAAGCCCGCCCGCTTGTCATTCTTCCACTCGCCGACGTAGGTCTCAGTGGTGGTGGCGTCGATGTCGTCCTCGATGACCGACAGCTCGGCCTCGCCCTCGCCCAGGCTGATGGTGGAGTGGATGTCGCTGGCCGTGGAGCTGACTGTGCTCATGCCGGCCTCGCTGCGGAATGAGCTCTGCTTGCTGCGCTGGCTGGCCAGGCTGCTCTTGGACTCCGACTTGCGCAGCTTCAGCCCGCTCAGCAGCGAGCGCCGGAACAGCCCCTTCTTCTTGCTCTTGAGGATCTCAGAGTCACTGTGGGCCACAAGCACGAAGCCCCCTCGGGACACAGCTGGGGAGCCGGCCACCGCGGGGGAGGCGTCAGGGTGCAGCGCGGCGCCATTGGTGTGCTCACTGCGCAGAGAGTTGATGGATGTCCTCAGGGGCGAGCGGATGACCGCCGCCATGCCATAGGGGACACTCTGTCGCACACCATATCCTTGGCGCATGCCACCGACCCACTGGCCCTGGTAGGTCCCTGTGGAGACAAAGGAGACAGGGTGAGCTCCCAAGACAGTGATGGAGCAGGGGTACCTTACACAGTGGACGGAGCCTCCACGGTCCTCTCTATCTTAGAGGACAATTTGGAGAGGCTGAGTGAGGCTGAGATCATGGTGCATTTTTATGATTTATATACTAATGGTTGTTCTTAAAGACACTTCCATCTGGCTTCCCACAGTTGTATTGTGTTCTCTCCCTTAGAGTTGGGGGAGGGGGAGGGGGAAGAGGGAAGGGACCTAATAGTCTGTGATGTACAGACAGGAGCACAGAGTCAACAGTAAACTGGAGAGCTCTCCCTGTACATGGGCAGAAGGCCACCCCAGAAAAGACTGGGGAGTGAAAGAAAAAGCACATCCTGGGTGAGCAGCAGCTATAGAGACACAGATCTGGGCTACAAACTGAGTACTGAAGAGGCTGCTCTGGAGGCAGTAACTTCCCCATTGCCAGAGATATCCAAGAAGAGTTTGGAAGAGCACTTGTTGGGGACACCTTTAACTGCATGGGCACCTAAGTGCTTGGAGACCTTAAGGCATTGAAATCAGCAGACCTGATATCCTCAAAGGAATCAAAAGGGAGGGCTTGAAGAGATATTCGTCACATTCATAGGAGCACTATTCACAATAGCCAACAGGCAGAAACAACCCAAGTGTCCACTGACGCAAGAATGAATTGACAAAGTGGGGTCTATCCATAGCATGGAATATTATTCAGCCCCAAAAAGGAAAAGATTTTGGCACATGCTACGATATGGATGAGCCTTGAGGACATTATGCTGAGCAAAGCAAAAGGGCAAAAACTATATGATTATATTTATATGAGGTATTTCAGATAGTTCAATTCATAAAGAATGGAATGGTAATTGCCAGGGGCTGGGGGAGAAAGAAGTGGGGAGTTGTTTAATGGAAACAGAGTTTCTATTTGAGGTGATAGAAAAGTTTTGAAAATAGAGGTGATGGTTGCATAACAATGAATATAATTAATGCCTCTGAACTGTGCTTTTAAAGGTGATTAAAATGGGGGACCTCTGGTCAAGTTGGAGGTGTAGGTACACACACTTCACCACTTCACAAAAACACAGAAAGAATTACAGCTAGATCTCAAAAACAAGTAACACCCAGAACCGTCAGAACACCAAGTGTGGAAGTCCGACAACAAGGTTTAAAGAAGCCACCTTCATCCAGATGGGGAGGAGGGCGGTGTTGTGGAGAGGCTGTGTGGTGTGGAGAGGCGGTGGTGGCTGCGGCAGGATGGACAGTCCCACCTTCACGTGTCATGGGTAAAAATTGGGAGGGATACCTTGGGAGTAACAATCCCAGCCCAGACCACACAGCCCAGGGTTCCAGCACTTGGCAAATAAACCCCCATTACCTCTGGTTGTAAAAACCAGTGGGGGTTGGGGCAGCAGAAGAAACTCTGCTGATTTTCACCACTCTGAGGGCCTGCACGATCTTAGAACGCACAGGGCAGCAGCTGGAAGGGTGCCAATCGCATACAGGAAGTGAGTGAAGTGACTGGAAACGGGCGAGTGCCGGGAAAAACTCCAGAAGCCAGGCAGAGGCATCATCCCCCCCGAGGGAGCCACAAAGTGGTGGAGTGGGGTTCCCCGCCCTGGCAATTAACTAAGTCTCCACCCCACACAATTTACAGGTGCCTTTTCTACATGGGCCACGCTACTAAGACAAGGAGTCAAAGCAGCTCTACCTAATACACAGGAACAAACACAGGGAGGCTGCCAAGTTGAGGAAGCAAAGAAATATGGCCCAAATGAAAGAACAGAACAGAACACTAGAAAGAGAACTAAACAAAACAGAGATAGCCAACCTGTCAGATGCAGAATTCAAAACATGGGTGATAAGGATGCTCAGAGAACTCATTGAGTATGGCAACAACATAAAGGAAGAAATGAAGGTTAGACTAAGTGAAGTAAAGAAAAATATACAAGAAAAATAAGCCAACAATGGAGGGAAGGAAGCCAGGATTCAAATCAACAATTTGGAGCAATTGGAAGAAATAAACATTCAACCAGAACACAAAGAAGAAAAAAGAATTCAAAACAATAAGGCGAGGCCTAGGGAACTCTGGGACTTCAAATGTACCAACAGCCAAATAATACGGACGCCAGAAGGAGAAGAGGAAGAGCAAAAGATTTAAAACTTATTTGAAGAAATAATGAAAGAAAACTTCCCTAATTTCGTGAATGAAATAGACATACAATTCCAGGAATCACAGAGAGTCCTGAACAAGATGGACCCAAAAGGGACCACACCAAGACACATAATAATTAAAATACCAAAGGTTAAAGATAAAGAGAGAATCTTAGAAGCAGCAAGAGAAAAGCAGAGTTACCTACAAAGGAGTTCCCATATCAGCTGATTTCTCAAAAGAAAATGCAGGCTAGAAGGAACTGGCAAGAAGTATTCAGTGATGGGAAACAATCTAGATTACTCTATCCAGCAAAGCTCTCATTTAGAATGGAAGGGCAGATAAAGTGTTTCCCAGACAAGGTACCGTATTTTGCAATGTATAATGCACAGCCATATTTATATAAAAACATTTATATAGATACGAAATTTAGTACTACCCATGTATACTGTGCACTCTCATTTTCCCTCAAATATTTGGGCAAAAAAGTGCACATTATACATGGCAAAATATGGTAAAGCTAAAGAAGTTCTTTATCACCAAGTCATTATTACATGAAATGTTAAAGGGACTTATTCAAGAAAAAGAGGATCAAAACCATGAACATTAAAAAGTCAGCAAATTCACAATTATCAACAACTGAATCTAAAAAAACAAATAAACAATTAAACTAAGCAAACAACCAGAACAGGAAGAGAATCATAGGTATGGAGATCATTTGGAGAGTTATCAGCTGGGAATGGGAAGAGGGCGAATGGGGGAAGTGGTGCAGGGATTAAGAAGCAAAACTGGTAGGTACAAAATAGACAGGAGGATATTAAGAATGGCATAGGAAATGGAGAAGCCAAAGAACTTACATGCACGACCCATGGACATGAACTAAGGCACAGAGATTGCGGGAGAGGAGGGCGGTACCAGGCAGAGGGAGGCAAAGGGGGAAAAATTGGGACAACTGAAATAGCATAATCGATAAAATATATTTTAACAGTGATTAAGATGGCATATTTTGTTATCTATATATCACCATAAAGTTTTTAAAAATCAGCAAAACTGGGCTCTTATTCTTGTTCTATTTATTTCCTGTGTGACTTTAGGCAAATTTCTGGACCTCTCTGACCCTCAGTTTCTTCATCTATAATAGGAAGAGTCTAAAATTCCTCATGCCGTAAGTCATTGTGAGAATTAAATGACCCTCAGCATGGTGCCATACACAAAGTAAACCTCAACTGCATCTGTCCTACTTGTTATTAGAATTATTACCAGGCCTCAGCAAGACACCAATGAGGGGACACTTCACTTCACCCAGTAAGAGCTTTGGGGTGAGAATGGGGGTGGGTTCTGTCCCATCACTCTTCCAACCCGCTGCAGCAGAGGCTGCCAACCAGAGGCTAAAATTTGCCAATATTCAGGTTTTATTTGTCCCACACAGCATTGTTATTCAAAAATTGAAATTAGGCCCTGGCTGGTGTGGCTCAGTGGATTGGGCACTGGCCTGCAAACCAAACGATCACTAGTTCGATTCCCAGTCAGGGCACATGCCTGGGTTGTGGGCCAGGCTCCAAGTAGGGGGTGCACAAGAGGCAATCACACATCGATGTTTCTCTCCCTCTCTTCCTCCTTCCCTTCCCTTCTCTCTAAAAATAAATAAAATATTTTTAAAAAATTTAAAAAATTAAAATTGTCAACATTTAAAAATCAAGAGATTTCACATAAAAGTTTGATTCTCTTGTTTCTTCTAAAAAGTACAAGATTTGGCAACTCTGGGTCTTTATTTTCAGGTAGCAAAATGGACTGGAGTGCGGCAGTAGTTGCATCTTCTAGATAGGCATGTCCCTTCCAGTTTGCCCCACACACCACTACTCCCTATTGTCTCCCACCCAGGCCCTCTCTTTTGTTTATGAGTCCTGCACTGGAGGTAAATCCAGACTAAGTGTGGAATCCCAATACAAGGCCCCAAATGATCTGTCACTGATGTGTCACCACTCCACACTGCCATCACCCCCAAGTCAGAACTGGTGCCGACCCATGGACTTCTCTGTCTCTGAGACCTTGTCCACACAACCTGTCCTTACTCAAAATCCCCACCCTACCATTCAGATCACATCCAACCCAGCCCATCTTGCACCCCGTTCTTAAGACAGCTTGGTGGAGCACTCCAGTCCACAGCGTTCCCCCCAACCCCCAGCACCCAAGGCCTTGGGGCCTGTTTCCAACACTCCATGGGCAGCCTCAGGAGAGCACCTGCGTTCTTTTGTTTGCCGAGTGCATCTTCCCTGCTCATCCAGATTACATGCTCCCCAGGGGGAATGGGCTTTGCATTCTAGACCCCTCATTTTCTACACAATGTGAGCCCAGCCCTCAGAGGAGGATGTGCAAACAGCCCAGAGTTGGCCAGGGCCCCCGACAAAGACCTGCACGCCCTCTGCTCCAGCAGAAAGCAGCCTGTCCATTTTTTTTAAAAGATTTATTTATTTATTTATTTATTTAGAGAGGGGAAAGGAAGGAGAACAAGAGGACGAGAAACATCAATGTGTGAGAGAAACATCGATCAGTTGCCTCTTGCACGCCCCCAACCAGGGACCTGGCCCACAACCCAGGCATGTGCCCTGACCAGGAATTAAACTGGCGACCTTTCAGTTTGCGGGATGACACCCAAACCATTGAGCAACACTAGTCAGGGCACAGCCTTTCCATTTAAAAAGTGATGCATGACCCAGGTGTTTTCTAGGAGCAGAGTCTGCGACCTTGCGAACATGATCCTTTGGGGGAGGCGGCACAGGAGGGAGGAAGGGCAGGGAGGAGCCTTGAGGAGGTGGTCTCAGCTGGGCGCCTGCC